CGAGAGGTAAACCTCTCAGGTGTTTCCACCCTTATCCAAAAATAGTGAACCTCAGGACTAGGCCTTTCAACAGTTCGAGATGGAGCCCTCTCCAGATCTCTAAGGGTTGAGCCAACCCTTGAAAGCAATGTGATCCTTTTTGTTCCCCCTCACTCTCAAGGCAATCCCCAGGACTACAAAAAACAGCAGGCTCATCAAAACCTGACAAATTCGTGCGCCGTATAAAATTTAAGTCCCGTGCATTTTTTGTGCAATTTTGCACGTCCACTTCAAATGCGCATCGTACATAATACGCGTCCTGGCGTTAGTAAAAAAAGTTGTGAATTCCCAATAAGAGGTTTTTCGTTATTATTTAATAATTTTTTTACCGGATTACGATTTACCGACACCCTCACGTCTAATCATTCCCAGAACCAGAAATATTGAGTTCATAGTTCCTCTTGACTCATCATTTGTTTGAAATTATTAATGAAATTTGGAGAAGATTTATACTACACTGAAATTGGTTGACTAACTGACTAATTTGTGCGCCGTATATAATTTAAGTCCCGTGCATTTCTCGTGCAAAAGTGCACTGCAAACATCAAAAGCGCATCGTACATAGTACAAGTCCCGAGTGCAGTAGTCAAACTCACAACCGGTTAAAAAGGAGCCCACATTTTTCTTTGTTTCATTCTAAATTACTTAATCGATTCATATTAAAACGATGAATTGAATTTTTCCCTGAAATTAGACATATTCAAATTGCTTAAGAAGGAAATGCGAGAAGTATACGATGGTGCAATGTTTCGAATTAGTAAGAGACGTACAGTCTATCTAATATATATTTTAAAAAAACTTTTATTATTTGAAATATTCAAATTCATAGGTTGACCCGTTCGTCTGGAAATCTGAGTTTGAAGAACAATTTGATTGAATAAGAGTTTCTCTGATTATTTTCTTCCAATCAATGTTATAAGTGATATGTTTTGAGTGTTGATTGATTCCTTTGAATGTGTTAGGTGAACATTGAGTTAACTATGTAACGATGTGTTATAAAGTTGATCTCTGGAGATGAGACATCAACTGCTGTGAGGTGGATGGAACAGTAACATCTGCCGAAGTACCCCGAAAACGTAAGTTGTTCTCAGACGTTGAACCATCATAATCAGTTTTGTGTATCTCCTCTTGCGTTATACAGTCTAAAAGGGTTTCCATAACTTTAACATAAGAACGTGCACGATCTCCGAGTCCACCCTGTCGAAACCAATTATAAATTATGAATGTTGAACAAGGAAACCTTCAAGCCATTACTCAGATATCCAACGACCAGATCATTCTTCATGTCCCATCTAATATTCTGTCCTCCAAGTCCGGCATGACCAGAGAAGCTGAACTTCGTCTGAAGGAGTGATTAGATGAGTTTAAATCCAATGAAATGATAAACATCACGAGAGTTGTAGTCTACTATAGTTGTTCCTCGTCCTCTTTTAGCTCTTGCACCGCTAACGATATCCCGATCATGGAACACCGTTTCACTGATAAGCTGTAGAGTTTCCTTTGATAGAACATACATTGGAATTGATTTCTTTTGATAAAACTTACATTTTTTATAACTTTTCCTTCAATTAATAACTTTCCAAAATGAGCAAGGTCTCGGGCTGTGCCAATACCGAGAGCTGCAAGTTGTTCTAATTGATACATCTCCGGGTTGTTCACAGTAACAGAGAAGATGGTTTGCATCCAAGGCGGATTACTGGCTACTTTAACAGATAAGCCATCGGTCAAAAACTGTTTGAAGAGAAATGGATAATCGACGTTCCCAGGATCGGTTATAAATTCGTCTACACGATTCCAAAGAGAAGGGCGAGTTATGCGTGCAACTCTCCATGCCAGCTCTAATGGAAGACCGATATGTATGTCTAGGCCTGTAAAGAGACAATAGGATCGTATGTAATTGGTGAATTTGGCTTCTTACCATGTTTGTCAGCAATTTCTTCTTTCCAAAACTGACCAGAACCTCGAGACAATGGATCTGATCGACGAATTATCTGATCAACAAGCCAACCATATGAAACAGCATGATAGCCAATGCGACTTCCGGGTATCCAACGTGGACTCTTCAAATGGAACACTTATCATTCGTTTTACGACTTGGCAGGTAAATTCACCTGATTTTCTAGTATTTGTGCCATTTTATGTGGATCACGTGCATCTTCCCAGGTGATTTCCTTATCAATCATAGCTAAACCAGCCTACAACAATCAAATAAACAAAATTCAATTAGAGAAGCTGCATACCGTATGGGTCATTACCATCTCTACAGTTATCTCCTTTTTACCTAGTTTACCAAACTCTGGCCAGAATGAAGATATTCTATCAGAATATTTCAGATGACCTTTATCAACTAGTAAAGCTACACATACAGCTCCCAATGCCTGAAACATACCATATGATCACATTGTTTATATGATATACCTTAGATGAGCTGAATATGATTTGCATTGTCTCCTTTGACCATTCTCGTTGACTATCACGATCGGATAATCCTCCCCAAACATCAACAACACATTCTCCCTATACATCATATATAGAATTAGATGGCAATGATGAGAATGAACCTTATGGTAAACGCATAGAGCTGCTCCATCTCTTTCCCATCCTCTCATCAAGTTATCACTTAAACAAATTGATCATCATCTGACGATGAAATATTAAGAAAAACCTGAAAATTTCAAGAACTTTGTTAAACTTTGGATGAACATATCCTCTGACTTTTGCTGGCTTACGCTGTAAGTAGAGATCATAATGGAATTGAGAGAGTATAAAGAAGGGGAAGACATAGAAAAATAGAGAGAGATATCGAGAGAGGAAGAGAGAGAGGTTGGAAGTGCATGAGAAAGAGATAAAGAAAGAGAGAGAAATATCTCTATCCTCATTGAAATGCATTCATGGAAATTATAAAATGAGTAATAGAGAGGTTATTATCAATCGATAAGAGATTTACCTGTCGCTCTTTCCATTTGAATATAATGACAGCTATAGTTAGAAGGCTAATACTCAAGAGAGCAAGTGATTTGGCGATGATGAGAAGGAACATCAATGAATCTGAAGGTATAAGATGAAACAACGAATATACGAACAAGAATCATCGGAGACAGACAACATCGTTCACAAAGACAGCCAACGATGTTTTTCAATTGAAAATGACAAAAAGTGATTGAGAAAGTTCAAATTGTGAGAAATGAATAGTTTCATATCAAATTGTGGATGGTTATAAACACTTACAACTTCGAAGAATCAATCGTTTATACAAACGGAAACGGAGAGTCAACAGTCTCGCTGATAGAAAACGCAGAAACGATGAAACAAAGCAAAGATTTCAAATTTTCATTTTGTAAATCACACACACACGCACAATCTCACTTCACATAGTTCCATTTGAGGATTATGTAATGCAAGAGAGAGGAATCTGCTTTAAAACATAATCAACTAGAAGAATCAGAGAGACAGACTTGTTGTCTTACTACATGCACACTCAGAGTATAAAAGAGAGAGAGAGAGAGAGAAAGAGAGAGAATGAAAAAAAAAACATTTGATAGAACTTTAATAAAACAGAATGTTGCTCTGCTCTGCTCTTCTCCCTCTCTCCCTCTCTCTCTCTATATATATATATATTATACAATATTATTTTGTTTTAAACTTGTCTTCATGCATAGAGCAACTTTCCCTCTCTTCAACATTTCATTTTTAAAACTCAAAAATTGTCTCAAAAATGGAAGAATCGTATTGTTTCAGAGAAAGGATTCTAAGTGAGAGGGATGTTTTGCATGAGGAAGTGACAGCTAATTAGCTTTCACACAATCAAATGTAATAACAACAAGACGTTATGAAGATGAACACGACAACGAAGACGACGATGAAGAAGGAGAAGTAGAAGATGGCTAAGACCAAGTGTAAGGAACGAAATTCCTTTTTCAACCAACAAAACCTATCAAATGCGTCTGGAGAGATGTGACATGACGCTATAAATGTGCAAATCACTGATAGCAATAGTATGAAAAACGATGAGAAAATCAGCTCACACGGTGTAAGAATGGAAGAGTTAAGAGGGTGAAGGATGACTCACATCCTTGTTAGATCATCTCTCTTATTCATTTGCAATGGCTAAATCAAACATGAAACTGTTTCAAACTTCATTGCAGATAGAAAGTGTGATGCAAGAAAGGAGGGAAAGCAACATGAGCAAAACGAAATCAACACAATAAGAGAATGAGAGAGGAGAAGGAAGAGTGAGAGAGAGAAAAAATGATCGAGGAACAAGGATATTAATCAAATAAATGAAATAAGCATTTCAACTTCATGAGCAGAGAGAGATAGAGAGAGAGAGAGATGGGTGAGGGGAGAGATGGTTGAAAGAGATTTTTGGAATAAAAATTAAAAAGAAAGAAACACAACCAAGACAACGAACAACGAAAAGATGTCATGAGAGTAAGGAAAATCAATAAATGTCTGTTGCACTCTGACTATTTGAGGTAAGAACGGAGAGGATTTGTGGTCAAAAAAAATATTTTTTTCAATTCGGAAAAATGCACAAAAATGGAAAAAAAAAGAGAAAATGATGGAGAGAGAGAGAGAGAGAGAGAGGGAGGGAGGGTGGATGGGTTGGAGGTGAATATGCAAATGATATGAGAGAGGAGAGTGAAAGGAGTGTTAACACTCTAAGCTCAATAAAACATTTTATCAAACGGAAAGTATTGGAAAAGATTAAAAAATAATTGAGAGAGTGACTAGGATGGAGAATTCAATAATGACGTCACAGTCATCTTATTCCAATCTTTCCTGACTTATAATAGAGAATCAAAGTGAGGGAGAGAGGGAGAGAGAGATAGGAGAAATCGTTAACCTCTGAGAAAGGATCGAGTTCAAAAAGCAAAAAGAGAAATGTCCCTCTGATGGATGAAAATTCCAAAAATGGAATCGATTGAATGTATTTCACATTCAATTTTCAGAAAGTTAAGAATTGTAAAGGGAAAGAGATATGACTGGAGTCGTTTGCAAGAAAGGAATGAAATGGAGAAAGCATATGCATATGAGTTATTCAATAGAATGATGATGGAAAGGCTTTTCAATCATGCTGCTTCATGCAGGTAGATGTGACCTTGGATATTTCATCTGCACGTTGCAGCCCTCCCTATGAGGAAGGTAGATTGTTATCTTAATCTATCATATTTCCCTTTCTAAGCTCTGATAGGAGAGGAACGTGTTTTACATTTTCAACATATGATTATGAGAGATATCCATATGGAGAGGTTCTATGCAAGTCTCACTTCAACGCTCACCAAGTTTTATTGAAGACGAAAGAATGTCAACCAACCTCGAAGCGAGAAAGCGCATCAGCTGAAGTTTATTTCTCTTGGACACACCCAATGCCACGATGTTAACCAGATTCATTCTTGCTCAACGAGCTGTAGATCGGTTGTGCTTTTTTCCTAAAAAAATCATTTTCATTCGAAAAACAAAGTGAGCGGTTGTGTTCTTACTGTGTAAAGGTTCATGCAACACTTGTAGTTTGTAAGTCATCCTGAAAGTGAAGATGTTCGATAAAATGCTACTACTTGAGATAAAAATGATGGAAAAAGATGATGCAAGCTCCATACAATCGAAGATGATCAGTGATAAAACAGTTATATGGGAGGGGCTGAACGTATTTTCAATTTAACTACTGAAAACGATAAATTGATAATTGACCAATTGAATAGAGAGAATTTGATTATAAAAAGAGTTAAAGATGAAAGTGTTATCAATTCATCCTTCAACTTTTCAAAATATACTCAATTCTCTCTATGTTATAGGAGTTAACCATGATCAAGCTTATATTGGCTTCCATATTGGTCTCGACAGTGTTATGCGGACCATCAGCTGATCTTGTTACATCATTGC